AATTTTAAAAAAGATAAAGATGGGTGGAATAAGTAAAGTCTTTACTTTCAGGATGTCTGTGAGTTTCCACAGAATATTGACTGTTGTGCAATCAAGGGTGCTGGTGATACAGCATTTCTTAGGAGCACTCCACCATCCTCTGAGATTTTCTTCCAAGTCACTGACCTTCACCTTTTAAGTTTCAGTACTGGTTCTTTTTTGATCTCATCAGAAGGTATCAACAGACGGTTTTCGAACAGAAATCAGGATTTGTGCTCCTTCTTCAAATGATCCTTAAATGGCATAGGAACTAAAGTATCCAGAGGCTATGGTCATAGTTGCCCAGCCAAGCTACCCAGAATAACAACCATGTCCATGCATAGGTAATGAAAACTCTTAATACAACTGACATCGACTCTTGCACGGAGAAGCATCTTCACAGGTTCCTTGCATGCTCTTGTCATCTGTGTCGCAGCTCAAGGTGGAGGAACAGGAGGTAAAAGAGGGCTCCCTCAGACTAGTGGCTAGGGGCGTGGAGGTTCTGGGGTGCCATGCCCCTCAGGGACACAGAAACTAGGTTTATAGGTGGTGAGGGCAGGAGTGAGCCACAGGGAAAAGGCAGGAGAGCTTCACTGTGGTTTTGATTTGCATTTCCCTGGTTAGTGATGTTGAGCATTTTTTCAGATGCTTGTCAGCCATCTGTACATCTCCTTTGGAGAAATGTCTACCCAACCATTTATACATTTTTTAACTGAATTATTTGTTTTTTGTTATTGAGTTGTAGGAGTTCTTTACATATTCTGGCTATGAACCCCTTATCTGATACATGGTTTGTAATTATAATATTTCTCCCATTCTGTAGGTTGTCTTTTTACTCTGTGGGTTCTGTTCCTTGCCATGTAAAAGTTTTTAAGCTTGATATAGTCCCGTTTATCTATTTTTCCTTTTGTTACCTGTGCTTTTGCTGTCAGTCAAGAAATCATCGCTCATTCCAATGCAATAAAACTTTCTCCTCATGTTTTCTTCTAAGAATTTTATAGCTTTAGGTCTTATGTTTAGATCTTTAATGCATTTCAAGTTAATTTTTTTTTTTTTTTTTTTT